GCTACAGCAACCTTCTACTTTTTTTTTTTTTTGGCGCCATTTTGTCTTCACGAAGTAAAGACAGGTTTCTTTTTTTTTATTTACTCAACATTTTTTCCAACAATCTGCTAGCCGAATTACGCTTATGCTAGAAATTTTATGGAACAAAAGTGCTTAATCATGACGAATATTAACTGCAAAATTGGCAGAAAGTGCAGAATTGCAAACTCCTTGTCGTGTTTTTCAGAATGGCACATACATGGTAACCATGTACACGTCGACCTATTTTTACTTAAAAAAAATCCCAGAGTTGCACAAAAATCGCATTGCGCACACTCTTTACTGTATCCATGTACACTGCTTTTTTCTCATAAATTAGAAAAATTTGCACGAAAATGCAGGAAAATTTTGTGAATCTTTAAAGTCCTTAAAAAGGACATATATGAAATTACCTGATCGCGAAAAAGTATATACCCTTTCCAAGGATGAACATTTGCACGTATAAAATAAACAAAATATCCAAAAACTTTTTCCTGTAAATTATCTATTATAAACATCACCTGCGAATTTATAACGCAAACATTAAAAATGAATATTTAAATTATTTCCATGCACGTTACTTCTACTGAAACGTATTCCAAAATGCTACTAACATATAATTCACAAAATCACTATCATTTAATTAAAATAATTAAATTAAAAACACACTACTTAAAATATAAAAAACACATACATTAAATTAATAAAAATAGCTTAAAATCTTAATTACTTTAAACTAATTCATTGCTAATAAAAATTTTCAATAATAGCATATTAATTTATTATTCCTTATTTAGAACAATGCATAAGAATAATATCCTCAAATGATTAAAAATACTAACTTACCTAATCTTCTACAGAATCTTGAGTGCATGGCGGATCACAAAATGTCCATTTTCACCAGATTTCTTGCACCGCCATTCAAACTTATCTGTAATATCCTTCTTTTCACACAATCTCATTTCATTCCCACATGTTAGACATTCATACTTATCCGCAATTAATCATTCAAGCAATTCTTTTGGATTATCAGATAAACGCAATAAAAATTTCGAATTCACTTTAGATAGGGCCGTGGGATCCAAAAATTAAGCAACACTGTTTCACACAACACAGATTGAAGCTAAATACAAAATGCTATAAAGTACTGCAGATATTTTTCCAAATTTCCCCCCTTTTCCGATTAAAGAGCTGTCATTCGTCCATAAATGTCACATGACATATATCATGATCTCTCATTTCTCTCAGACAAAATAATCGTAATTGGAACTGGGTACTTCTCACATTATTGCCAAAGTCCTAGGTAGTAACCTTTATCGCCTACCAAAATGTCGCCAAACTGCCTGTTACCATATTCCAAAGATTAGCCAAAAGAAGTTTTTTAAAAAATGTAGAGAAATATACATGTACTCTTACAGAAAAAAAATCTTTAGCAGCTAATTGTGTTTAAATGCTGTTGTAGTTATGACAAGATTAGCACTAATACGATATTAGGTATTGTGTATTTCATATAAATTTGACAGAACATATGATTCTCGTTCTTAAAAGTTCAAGCGTGATTTACTGTGCATTTGGTGCGGCATTCTCATTTTGTTATTTTCATCACATCTAATACACAAGCTAGTTTCTTTTAGAAAAATCCTTTGCAAAAATCAGTTCTTTTTTTTTTTTTTTTTTTTCCACATGATTAAAAAATATATATATAAAGTTATGTATTAAAATAAGTGTAATTTCAAAAGAGCATCACAGTAAATGTGGAAATAAGTAATAGGAAGGTTAACTTGAGATTGGGTAAATAAAGCTAAAATGAAATGTAAAACTTCTAGTTGAAATTGAAAATGGGACAATGATATTTGTTTTCTTCTATTAAATTGTTTCATTGAACACTTTTCCATTACTTTTGATGTACAGCCTGCTAAACTAAAATTGTAATTATGAATGGCAATGCTATAGAGAAATAAACTTTGGGATTTGTCTTGTTCCCGTTCTTCATCACCAAATTTAATTTTCAGAAGTCTAAAAAATGAAATAGGCATTTATAATTCTCTTTCTTGTTTATGTAAAATTCTGTCTGCCATTAAAAAATTGAATTAAACCAATATGTTTTCCACATATATAATCCTCTAGTTTTTATTAAATTGGGACATCTTATGATTAACATTTTAACTTAATTAAATTGCTTTTGCAGATACCTTGATGGATTTCTTTAAATCAAAATAATGAAAAACAGTTAAATGTTAAACAAGAGTGCAGATTATGAAATAAATTTCTAGTAAAGAAGTTCAAAGTATATATGTCAAACAAAAAAAATTTTGTGTTAAATACTTGAATACAGAAGTTCATGCATGCATACAGTCAGCCATACGTATAGTGAAAGCACCCATGCTTGTAATCAGTAAAGAGAATTTCTGTGGATACCTGACATACACTAGAAATCTGAACACCAAGAAGGTATAGTTTGGACCAAATAACACTTTATAATACTTATATTCTTTTTGAAACACGGTGTATAGCAGACGTAGAACTCCATCCCACAAAGTGACATATGGTAGCTGTACATATTACACAATGGATGTACTTTTGCATCAACATCATGGCTACTACAGCAGTTATTAATATACCATCTTTACTTATTTTAAATGGCTTTTCTCACACATGCTTTAACCTGTGACCTTGAAACATTAATCAAATAAATATGCTACCTATTCAAATGTTTTGCTTACATTTTGTTCCTCTAAACCAATGGTATTCAAACTTTTCGGCAGTGCACCTCCATAAAAATTCAAGCAACCCCAAAAGACCACTCCATGATTTCAATCAGAGTGTTGACCCTTAGTTTTATGCCATGAATTTAGATTTTTTAGGATTTTTATCTACCTTGCAACCTTGGAGTCATAACCCATAGTCTGAATGCCACTGTTCTAAACTGATTTCTTCTTGCTGGTGGGATTTCATTTTCCATCAGTATGCTATCCTGAAAGTAAGAACTGTTTGAAGTTTATGTTAAAAATTTTCCACTTTTGTTTTTAAACATTGCAAATATATTATGCTAGTCATTCAGAAAACTTCCATTAATGATGTCATCTCTGGATGACATTGTTTTTATTGTGAGAATTCTTTTTATTACTGCAAAAGGCCTAGTGGCATAAACTTGAACTTAGAAGAGTTATTGTTTCTAGAAGAAAGAAGATCCAAGATTCTGGAAAACTTATGAGACTTATTCTGTAAAGGGGCAGTAAGTGTTAATTGCTTTGTTAAACCTAATTCAGTATACTTTTAGAGTAAAAAACTGTTTCAGTCCTAAAAAAAATATGGTGTTCTCTAAAATGCATTAATCTTTTTCTTTTCAAATTTTAACTGTTATTACATAAAGATTGAAATTTATTAGTAATTAAAATTAATCTGGTATATTATTTTATCCACTAGTGGTATTTTCTTGTCAGTTAATAACATAAAAGTTTTTGGTGCTTTCTGATTATCCTCATTTGCAAAAACGTAATGATTAGTCAACCCTCTATGTTGTCAAAAGTATTGTTACGAAATGTAAAGGTGCGGTGAGATGGCTTCCCCGCAAAGCAGTTTTGGGTTGCCATAAAATGGCAATGGAAGGCAGGGTTGCCACATTTGATGAGAAATCGCCCATTTGGTGACAAAATTCCCAATATACCATGGACGGTTGGAGAACCTTCTGGAAAGAATTCTTGCCAGTTTAGCCCAGAATGTTTCCGAACACAAGCCAAAAGCTATATAAGCCCTGCTGGTCCGCAATCAGTAAGTGTGTGTGTGCCTTGTCTAGTGAGCTGATAGTCATTGAGTGTGTGTCTCTCATCGAGAGTGAGTGTGTCTCGCCTAGCGAGTCAATCCCTGCGGAGTCGATCGAGTTGACAGCCGGGCAGCGAGTGCCGAGTGGATTGTCAAGTGCACCAAAGGAGTCTGTTAATGTATCACGGTTAGTGCATCGTCGAGAGAGCATGTTGAGTTCTGGGAACGATTGAACCGAAGAGTTGGGAGCTGTGCTCGTGTGTCGTCGAGAGTGCATCGCGAGTTGTACCGTAAAGAGTCTCGAGAGTACATGGAGTTCCGAGAACGACCAAGCAGAGTCGGGTGCTTTGCAGGAAGCTGTCTCCACCGTGATAGCCTGATAACCTGAAGGCTGTGTCGCTGATCGTGTCAGCATGTTTATAGTAGTTCATCGATTGTAAAACGTGTTTTGGAGCTGTCCTGACAATACTGGCAAATAAAGTGTGTTTCGATACTTCATCAAGTGTCGTCGTTATTCACTCCAAATCTACGAACCCCCCGTACGAACGTGAAGGAAGAAAATAACGTAACAGTATTCATGTAGAAATCAAAGATAGTGCCAGAAGGTGTTTATATGGTGACCCTAGTAGTTTCTCCTGAGATGGCTTTACATTTCTCTTGATATTTTCACCAATGAGTCTGAATAATATGATCCTGCTGTGGAAAATTCAGAATTTTATTTCAGCAGTCGACTGTTACTGCAGTTTTCATCATCTTCGGCAAAATCTAAAACTTATTTTTTGGCATGCATTGAGAGTAACGTGGCTCACTTAAAGGCATCATGTACCTCTTTTTCCCTTGTCATTTTAGGATTTTGGTGCAGTGTGTGCCCAGTTTACTCAATTCTCTGATTTTTTTCCTTTTAAGCAAAAACCAATCACTGTGTACACGGGAAGAACAACAGCACCAAAAACCAAGAAATATGTGTTTCTTAGATGGGAAAAGAAGGTTGTAAAAAATTGGGTGGCACTGAATGCATCATTGAAATAAACATTAACAATAAATGATACCCAAACTAACATTTCTGTTCAAAGTTGGCAATGAATTTACAAATACTCTCCAAAGTCCTCAATGAGTTTGTGAATTTTCTGTGTGGGTGCAAATAATCAAAAAGTACCACTTTTTAATATTTTTATATGTTCTTATGTCCTTTTGTTAATGCTTTCTTCTTATTTTTATAGTGATGAGGCTTACCAGACCATCACTTTATACGACACAACCTGTAGCTAGTGATTCTAGGTATTTTACATGCAATTTATTGAATGCTGCCTTGAAACAGGATTTTGGCTCCCCAGAGAATTTAGAATATTTTAGCTCAGGGAACTTATTAATGTTACCACAAAGTTTTGGGTAATATATTTGTTATATTTAAGGAAATAATTAATTTTAATGTGGATTGTAAAATAGGTATTTGTTATGGAAAATTGTTATGTATTATTTGGTACAATTATTATATTATTTTACTGTGTTTAATGAATTTGTATTATTATTATTTTAGAATTAATGTTTAGTATTTAGATTTTTTTAAACTCTGTGTGTTTAAGTCTGTGTGTTTTAGCAGAATGCCAGTCAGGCTTGCGTTTGAGATGGTCGAACTATAGGAGAGCTGTGTATGAATGTTATTTTACAACTGCTTGTAAGAGCTTGATTGACATCTGTTTTAAAGCAGTGTCAGGCCTTCTTATATAAATATTATGTTCAACAATCTGAAATTACGTTTCGTGAAAATATTATTTCATGCGTACAGGTTTGTAACAGATTGAATGCACAAGTCCAATAAAAGGTTAATAAAATTTTTCTTATCAAAAGAAATGAAACAGAATGCTGAAATTTTTCTCAGAAATATTCGTACAAATGTTCACAATATCATGCAGTAGTAATCAGAAGTTATACTTAAAACAACTAAAATCGTTAAATAGAATGCAAAGCACAGCACAGAGAAAGCTATTCAATCAACAAATAAAACAACAGCTAACTAAACAACTGAGGTAAGATGTCTTTCTCCGGCATTTTAAGGCTTTCAATTAGTCACGAGAGAGTTCTAGTAATTTCTTTGCTCCTCGAGATTTCTGGAAACTAACATGAAGATGGAATTATGGTTACAACTAACACAGTCAATTACATTTATTCAATTTCAGTACAAATAAAAGGGATATCCATTTATTCAATTTTAAGTACTCATGCTCTCATATTTTTACTTTTTCGGTGTAGCTTTCTCTTAAAATTTTTCATGAGCTGCATTGCACGGGGAGATAAAACAATTTTAATTATAATTCTACTGAAATTAGCTATCTAAATACAAAATTCATAACAATACCAACAAGTTAAAGAATTAATTAATCTCTGTTATTAGCAGTATTTTTAAAACAAATTAATTTACATACTTGTATTTAATTTTATCTCCATGTATTTTTGCATATATACATTATACCATATGTTTCCTTGTATAAGGCGAAAGTTTTTGACAATTTTTTTTTTTATTTCTGAAGTTTGGGGTTCACTTAATATGAGTTTAAAAGCAGCTAAAAATAATTAAAGCTTCAAAATAATATTATAGCTAGAAGACTAGTTTATCTTCATATAACTGAAGATCGGTTTGTTTGATTGCAACAAAGCACATGAGTGCTATGTCCCTAAGGAGAGGTGTACCGTCATGAAGCACTTTCTAAGAAAAACTGGCTCCTATCCCTGTTACATATGTGGAAAATCATGAAAACACCCATGCGGCTGTCCTTTTGCTGAGATTTTAAACTCGGGTCAATCTAGCAGTATTATTCTCTTTGATATTAATTTACATAAATTAGAATTTCGTAATATTTTGTATATTGTAATTAATGCACATAAATTAGAATTTCATAAACTTAGAATTTCCAAGCAGTTCTTATAATTTCTTTCTGCTAGAAGCAAGTATGAGTGAATGCTATCATTCTCCATTTGATCATTAGCTTTGTTTTCATCTGCCAACCAGATGGTAAGTCTGTTGAACATTATTTCTCCAACCCAGGCTAAAATTCTACAGCTACAGGTAAGTTTTCATGATTTTTCTCATGTGTATGGTACATGGTATGTATCATGGTATGTATTTCTCCTGTGTATGGTACATGGTATGTACTTCTCATACATATGGTATAATGTATATATGCAAAAATGCATGGAGATAAAATTAAATACAATTAAATACATGAATGCAAGCCAGTTTCCCTTGAAAGTGATCCATGAAGACATCCCTCTTCCCTTGAAGGATAGCCTGTGTATGCTTTCCTGTTAGCCAAATAACTCAATATTCTGCCTCATAGAAAATATGAAGTACTGTTCTGACAGAACTATAAGAGAGCTGTGTATGAATGTTATTTTACAACTGCTTGTAAGAGCTTGATTGACATCTGTTTAAAGCAGTGTCAGACCTTCTTATATAAATATTATGTTGATATTATGTCTGTATATATGTTTAATGTCTTAATAAATATTATGTGATATGATGAAACACTGATTTTACAAACAGCTCAACCAGGAAATTTAATTTAGCATTCATCCCCCCACCCCTTTTTTTTTTTTTTTTTTTCCGTCTGAGCATTATTGACTGTATAGCAGAAATGAAGAATTATATTTTATTTGTAAAAGTAAGATCACAGTTGAAGAAAATCTTGTGATTGCTTGAGAATGGTTATCAAAAGTGATAATTAAAATAAAATTCACCATGCACACCAAGTGTGCACATGCTTAATATTTGGGCCTAAAATGTCCTTTCTTTTCAACAGCATTCTCACACCTTTTATTCTTCGAATAGAAGCTGAATGGGAATTTGCTCTCACTTTCAGCTCATCTGATAGATCTAGCTAAGCTAGATGACCAAAAATTCATCTCTTCTATTAAGTAATGAAGAATCTGTAAACGTATGTATGTTCCTTCCTCGCATTGTAAAAAAAAAGAAAATGAGTGCACCTAGAGCCACTAAATTTTGAATACCCATAGTCCTCATCCTGAATATGTGCACCTCAAAATTTGAATTTGGAATTTTTTATTTATTTCATATTTTATATGAATTTAATGAATCTTTGATTAACAAACTAGGCAATTTAAAATCAAATATTGTCAATGCCGCTTTAAATAAAACATTTTTATCTCCAGCATCCAGACTGTTGCCATTCTTCAAAATGTAAAATATTTAATTTTCACTTTTAATCAACAAACTTGGCTATTTAAAAGCAATGTGCTTTTACTGCCTGAGAATAAAATACTTTTATTTTATCTGCTTGTTGCCATTTAGTAAAGTGCAAGGGATTTAACTCTCAAATTCAATTTGTCTGTTACTGAGTAACAAGCTGAGCAGTTTAAAAGGAATAAATGCAAAAAGAATATTTACGAATTATTTATAATTTATTATTATTTAATATTTCTGTTTTCTCTTTTTTACATCTGAATGATGTGTAAAAGTGCATGTAAATTGTTATCTAATTTACATAAAGACCACTAACTGGTCTCATTAAATCTTGTTTTTTTTTCTGATAACCATTCAGCAGTTCGTGTCTGTGGATGGTGTATTTAATTTTTTCGCTGATTGGGAGTGATTTTAATAGGGCTTTTTCATAGCTTTCAGTCTACTGAAGTTTTGTTTAAAACCCATTTATACTCCTATTCTGTGATTATCTGGACATATATTATGCATCTATTGATTTGCAGGAACTTTACTGGGGAAACATTTCTGCTCCTGGTGTGCTAATGCGCCCCCCCTTACAGTGTGCCTGTTCCGTCTGCGGCACTTTCTCCTCAGCCTTTTAGTTTCTTCTTATTTTATTCTCTATTAACTGTCTTTTCTCCTAATTTTAGGCAGATCTTCAATAGGCTGCAAAAATTGGCTTTCGTCCAGGGAATCTATTCTGTCACCACTACCCTGATTAAAGTGTCAAGATGTATCATCACTATTAAGCTGGAACCTATGCAGTTTTTAAATCTCCTTTGTCGCCTAATTATGAGCTTTGTTGGTCCCGTATTCCCTTGTTTTTGAAATAATAATGTATTTCATGCCTATATAAATTTGGTTATCATTCCTTTTTAGTTACTTGGATTTCCTCAAAATTTTTTCTTTGTTATCCATCCTTCGATTTGTTTGAGTACGCCCTATTTGTAGAATTGTTTTTGTCGCTTTGTTTTTCCCCAAAGTAAGGCTATACCTGAGCCTATTGAGTGCCCTCCTCTTAAATGGTCAGTATTTCTGAGCCTAATAAATTCAAGTAGAGCCTTAAAGTTAATCCGCACATTTTGTATATTTCATCAACAATTTGCCATTTTTATATGCTCTTTTTGTGTTTTAGTTTTTTAACAAACTGATACTTTTGCCCTAATTTTAAATATATTCTTGTAGATTTTTCAGAAGTAATTTCTGTCATATCTGCAGAATCTGAATTTTCTCATCTGTATGGAGGCTGGAGATGTATTTATCGAGTTCCCCCGGCAGTCTGGTCTGTTCCTTCCCCAATATTAACTTTTTTTTTAAATTAAATGCTTTCAGATTTTATATTATGTCCAAAGGGGCGTTTTTTTAACGTTTTGTGAGTATATCACACATATATACACTATACATACGTATGTGCATAAATACAATTCTGAATCCCATCTTAATAATAGAATACTCAAAATTGTTTCAGATTTTCTGCTTGAACCTTTTAAATATAAAAGTGACTATAAATTCTATGAAATATTCCTTCAATATCTACAGGAAACAAATCTGATGCATTATAGATTATGTGTGCTGCGCAGCTTATTCCTATTATTGGATGATTTAATTGATTATTCAATCAGGAAAATGCATTATTTGTTCCTTTTCTGTTAACACCTTCAAAATTTGAATTTATATTTTCTACATAATACTCCACCAACTTCTTTGTTATTTGTTTGAATCCAATGTATAAATAATGTACTTGGTGATTATTTCCTATGTTTCTGTGTGAAGAGTGATTAAATCCAGAATTTTAATGTGATCACTTTCTTTGTGATCGAAATCTCCTACAAGAATCGGAAGCAACTTTATGTTTTTATGGTTTGAAGTATTTATGTAAAGTTATGTTATCTAATTTGATTTTTGTAGTGGAAATTGCAAAGAGTTTTATGACATTTTTAACTATTGCCTCACAATGTATAGAGCCCACCAGCGGCCAAGCGGTAACGTCGCTGAACACAGGTAGTTTGATCCGACGTTCGAATCCTGTGAACAGGCTGGCTGCATGGGCGTTTCCGTGGTTTTCCTCATGTGTAACGTGTATAAGAGCCAGTTTCCCTTAGCCTCCTCCGCACATCCCCGCCCTTGGCATACCTCGTGCTTTCCATAATTAAATACACCAATACCACAATCTATAGAT